CTCGGTGTGAATTTACTCTCGTCTAAATTTATTATGCGCAGTTGGCTAGTTGTGTTTTGGTTCTGTTAAACGCCGGAGGCGTATCAAGCGTGTGGTCTCTGTATGGTCATTTGGGAAACACGGTACAACCCCGAGGGGTAACTTTAACTTCGCTCACCCCCACTGACTTCAGACATGAATTGAGAGTGCTCATGAGTGGGGTGGACGGCATTTCTTAGACGATTCTTGTTTTAGGGTTCTTATAGGGGAGCGGAGGGGAGAATTATCGGTCTCATGGGGCGATGAGTATTATCGACTTGAGAATTTCATTATTGGGTGAAGGACGATCAGGGGGTGACGATTTTTCTTCTTGAACTAAGTGTATTTAAGAACTCCCATTTCTCTTTTAAGGGGAGGTTCACCTCGGGAAATGAAATTTGCGTTTTTCGAGAAAACAACTTCAAAAACACTTTTTTCCGCGTGATTTTTCCTCAGAAATCAGATTTTTCAGGTCAAATTAATCTCCGATCGCTAAAAATTAGATTTGAATTTTTTCTAAACGAAGAATCAACTTTTGAAAAATCCTAACGTATTTTTTTTCGGAATAGTTTTTGAAATATGATCACAAATTTTCGCAGTTTAATCATTAAAAAAACGGGAGAAGATACATTTTAAAGTTCATTGGTCAACCTGAAAAAAGTCGTTATTTTCAAGGATCGATTATATTTTCGAAAATGCTAATTGGATTTTTTTATCTCTTAGAAGGAGAAAAATGAAAAAATTAATAACAAAAATCTTTTTTTTTCATTCGCGATTGTTTAGTCAATTCATTGTTTACCGACCAATGTTGATGTGTAAATTTTAAATTCCACATTCAATTTTTTGTATGTTGCTGATTATATTGAAAATTAATAATTTTAGCTTGTTTTTTTTTCAAAATTCAGTTTTTGGAAGAGCAGAAAAATAACAATTCCCTTTTTCCTTCGTTTTCGTCATCTTTGTATCACATATTTCGATGGAAATCGTGAAGAAACTTCGAAAACTTCCGCGGAAATAATCCAAATATAAAATAGGTGAAGTCCTTCATTAATATCGCTAACTACATGTAGTATCGGGGATTTTTGATTGTCGAGACGATGGGGAACTTCCCAAGTAAAATATAAGAAGTAAGTCTAGACGCTGGGGAACTACGCGAAGGTTCGCCCATTGTAAGTTTAAGAATTTTGTCGATGATATTTTATGAAGGTATTTTATTAAGGTAGGATTAAGACGGGACATAAGATTAAGTCGGGTAGTTTTATTATTTTATTGCGGAAAGACCGGAGTACCCTCATAGGTGACTCACGACCCTTGGCTGGCCCACGCTGCCACGTCTCAGGATTTTTCCAGAAGGGAAATTGGCAAGTGAGGCCCAACGAAGCTTGCTGGTGGGGGAAGACGCCAGGGGGAGGAACTGAGTATAGATAGGGCTGAGGGTGACAGGAGTTAGTTGATTTTGGAGGGTCGAGAAGAAATAGACGTTTTGACGAAGTCCTCTTGTGAGGCACTAGACGGTTCTTGACGATTCAATTTAACATTTAACATAATTAAATGTTTGAAGTGTTCTTATAATTTAAACTTTTGTAAATAATTTCCAATAATTAAATGTGTATGAATTAAATCTTTTACTGTTTTTATCTTTTAAAAAGTATCCCCACATACACTAATCAAAAATTGATTAATTACCAGGCAATTACCAAAACACCATCAGTCCCTGCCTCCCGAGCCTCAATTCATTTTTTTTCGTGTCTCCGGGATATTAACACAAAAGAGGGAATGATGGAAGAGGGAAAAAAGTGAGAAAGGAGGATTTACCCCAGAGGATAATGACGAATCGTCAAGTCGCCGCTGGGATTTCGGATTTCGTGAATGATCGGAGTTGTTTTCGAAGTCTCGATGCGAGGTAGAAAAACCGTCATTTGGGGGATTGTTAATTCACAGAAGTTTGATTGTGTCACTGATTGGGATCATGAGCGGATGACGGAGTAAGTGGGGATTTTGGGGGTCTGATGGAGATCTTGATAGTCTCTCGATTAGTGGGATTGATGTCGAGGAGATTGTGGTGGACGATTTGGGCCGGTGATGGTGAGCTGACGGGTTCATAAATCGCGGCGAGTGATTGTCATTGTAATTACTTCTTTCGGTTATTTCAGGGGTATTGAGAAGTTTAGATTGACGAGGTGGAATTAATTAATTTGGTTCCTTTTGCTGACGACATCGTCATGAGAATCAGATATTTTCGGAGGGAATGTTAATCAATCAAGAATTTTTTCTGATGTTTTCAACTCAAATCCCTAGTACACTGTTAAAATTAAACAGTCCCCAGGGGGAAGTGTTTTTTCTTATTATTTTTATTAGTTTTGTTAAAATTTTTCGTCTGAATTTTCCGTGCCATATTCCGGAAATTTTTATCGAGTTCAAGTTCCACTGAAATTTCAGGAAATCTTGTCATTGAAAAATAAAATATTCCATTGATTTGCTGTTCAAATGACCTGGAAATGAATAAACACTTGATTTTTCAGCTCAATTATTTTGTGAAAATTCAGAAAAATTAGGAATGTTCAGGAAAAATGAATGAAATAAAAGCAAATCAAATTTCAATGAATTAAGGAATTCTCGTCTTTATGCTGCCTAAAATTCTGGAATTTTACTGAAATTTTAGTGAAACCTGAAATTTTATGTTTTTTTTCACTAAATCACGTTGAGTGTCACTGTCCTAAAAATTCGCGATCAACTGTCAACTGTCGCGATGAAAAGTCATTTTTTTCCAACAGTGTAACTCCTCAACGAGGAGCTACTTACTTCCGAAATCATGGGGCCACTCTGGCATGAAATCATTCCGAAATCGCCGAAATCACCGAAATCAAGTGATTTCAGCTCTTCGAAATCACTTTCGAAATCATCTCCGAAATCACGTGAAATCGTCTGAAATCACGCGAAGAGAGATCTTCAGTAAAACTTACGGAACTCAAAATTCGCTCACCGATTACGGAATCGACTCAGAAAATTTAAGTGACGGTTTTGTAATTTATGTCATTAGGCCTGATAAACCGCGATTCTAACCTCGCTTTGCTCGGTTAGATCGCGGTTTTCAGGCCCAAGGACATAAAATATCATGTCACACGGCGATAAAAACATTATCTGGCGAATGTGGCTCTATAATCCGAGCCGAAGGCGAGTTTTATAAAAGTTTTAAACAGTTTTTTTCCGAAAATTTCTGAAAAAATTGGCCAGATAATACTTTTATCGCCTGATGACATAATATACTATTTTCACAGGAGATTTAGATAAAAATTACGGAACGTTCAGGAAAAATTCCGTGACAGTTCCGTAAAGTGTCCTACAACCGCCTTTCGCTCCAGAATTATGGAAAAGATACGTAATTTTTATTGATTATTTTTCTCACTCAGATTTCAGCCAATCAGAGCGCAGTATTTGAGGCTGTCAAACTTTTTTTTTCGGAAATTTCTAAAAAAATTCGCCAGATAATACTTTTATCGCCTGATGACATAATATACTATTTTCACAGGAGATTTAGATAAAAATTACTGAACGCTCAGGAAAAATTCCGTGACACTTCCATAAAGTGTCCTACAACCGCCGTTCGCTCCAGAATTACGGAAAAGATACGTAATTTTTATTGATTATTTTTCTCACTCGGATTTCAGCCAATCAGAGCGCAGTATTTGAGGCTGTCAAACAGTTTTTTTCGGAAATTTCTGAACAATTTCTGACGGAAATTCACTAGTAGCTCTTCAAATGTTTCTCATCTTTCAACGCATTTCACGTTTAATATTCTGTGTGATAGATAAACAAAAAAGTGGGTTGTAAATGTATGGCTGTGTAAATGTATCCAGATGCTGTTCACTGCACTGTGCTTGGCCGAAATCCGAGTGGAAAAATAATCCGTCAAATATCACTCGTGCTTCAAAATTAATCGGATATTTTCCTCAAGCTTCCCTACCTAGGAACGAAGCTATCGGAAAATATCCGATAATTTTGAAGCACTAGTGGTATTACTACTGAATATTTCTCTCCGTGCACCGAAATCGGTGGCGCACTGTCGTAGTACGAACCGTGCAAGTATTTCGTGATTTTAAAATTGACACACCTGCCAGCAATGATAATACAATGCCGGACCCACTGCCATAGAAAAATGGTACAATGGATCACTTTTCATCGTCATCAGCTGACGATTAACGGAGTAGAATCAAACGAATTCGTTATTATTCGCTATTTAACATTGCCAGTTTTGATTTTCATAACTTGACACAACCCGTTTTGTCTCCCTTCTATTATTTGTGAACTTTATTTTTCTGAAATGACTGATTTCGAATTAATGAAATCATTTGAAATCGTAAAATCACCTTTCGTGACGCTCCACGGAGAGAAATATTCAAGAAAAATTACGGAACATTTCACGTAATCCGCAAGCGAGAATCGTTTTCAGTGAATTTCTGTAGGAATATAAGAGAATAAATCTGAAACGTTCAGTAAATTTTCGGGTCTGTCACCGAAAAAATACGAAAAAGTCACGTAATTTTTCTGGAAGTTGTAAAATCTAACAGAAACTTCAAGACTTATTATGCCTCAGAACATGAAAATTCTTGGATGTTTAAGAATTTTTACGAAAAGTTCCGGAAAAATTACGGAACGTGTTGTTAAAATCTCCCCCTCATGGTGACTCATGGCTAGCCGTGAGGCGTCGGACGGATGCGTAATTTTTACGGAACAGATCGTAGAATTTACGTGACGATTGACACTTTTTATTGAATTTTACTTCGCTCCCAGATTACGTTTCGAAACGTAATTTTTATTGAATAGTTCTCTCCGTGTCGAAATCACCGAAATCATTTTTTCCGAAATCACTGAAATCCCGGCTAAAATCACCTAAAATTGTCTTCATTTTGAAATCATGGTGTCACTCAATTAAAACTGTTACACTCCTCTCACAAAATATCGCCAGAAAATCTTAAACTCACCTGGTAAAGACAAGGCACAGTAAAGTAACACTGAGAATCATCAACTGCTGACTCAAGGCCGATTGTGACTTCTGCATTGCTCTGTGAAGATCGTTCTGCAATAATAATTAGTATTCCATCACTTCTCTATCATCACTCGCGGAACTTGCTCCACTTCTCCCAAACTTTCAACTTACGAACATATTCTCCAGTGAGTGCTTTGCCAACCAGCAGTTCAGGAATACCGGAATGAACAGATTTCGCATCGGTGGATAAAGTATCTGAAAATTCATTAATTAAAACTTGAAATGAGGGAATAATAACTTCGGGGATTTTCACGGGTTGTGGTTTCTCAGGGGAGTGGTGGAACAAAGTGATGAGCCAAATTATAGGGTTTTACCTAGGGAGGAAATTTTTACTGAAAGTGGAATGGATAGAATGAAAATGAGAGAACAGTTGTGTGAAAATCTACTAATTTCTGAGTCCACATTTTGTCGTTGATTAACGGGAAAATTGTTGGGGGTCCATTGTTAAATTTTGGGAATGAACGAAATTATATTGTACTGCGAGGAAACTTTCATAGTGATGCTCCAGAAATGGAGTCGATTGATTTACATAGTGCTAGACAGAATTATCTAGATTGAGGAAAGAGAACATGGACTGTTAGAAAATTACTCTTTAAATTTCAAGTAAAAAATCTTCAAATTTTTAACAACGAATAATTTACACGGAATTTCCATTGATCTTGTTATCAATAAATCTATCAATTTTCTGGAATATTCAAAGAAAATTTGATTTCTCAGGTTCATACGACAATGAAAATTAATGAAGATCGTGAAAATTCAGGCAACTGTTCTTCTGAATTTTCAATCTGTTGAACATTCAATTGAATGTATTGCTTAATTTTCACGCTAGATATGAAAGTCCAAATTGTCCTTGAAAATTCAATGATCATTTATCATGAAAAACTTAATTTTATTGAATTTCCAAGGTGAATCAGGAATCCATGAGCCATTTAGTTTGAAATTGAATTCAAGTTCAACTGCATCTGTTACTTCAATTTCAAAAAATTTCCAACAGTATATGAAAAAGGGATATCAAAAGAGTATTTTTGGTATTCTTTTGTTATACTATCTTTATTCTCGAATGAGCCTATGTTCCTTAGAAAAACTAGTGGACAATTGCTTTTCATTATCCGATTATCTATATTTATTTTATTCTTGTTTTTCTTCAGTCGTTTTTTCGTCCTTTTTTCTGAGGAATATGTGATCTGTTTACCCTCGATCACTAGCTGAAGGAGCGCGGCGCCGCCCGTTTTATTTTTTTTTATATTTTAGCGTTTTTATATTTTTGCTCGATGCCTAAAAATTCTGAAAAAAATTAGAGTTCCTAGTTCAATCCTTTTATTAAGGATGTTTAGTTATTTTTAGCAAATCTTATTTTTTCATGTGCAAGGAAAATTCTATAATTTTTTTGGCTGATAGCAGAACATGTGAAGCTAACTTCTTTGATGTTAAAAAAAAATAATCGCAATAGTCTCGTCAGAAATAAATAAACGAATTTTTCTTTATTCGGGGGCTCTCATGGAATTTATGATGAAATTTATAATTAATCTACTAGAAAACTCTAAAAACAGAAATAAAAATAGAAGATAATATGCAAAATTATAGTGAATCGAATGGCAAGAGGAAAAGTTGGGGTACCCGAACAAAAAGAGGAAATATTTGAAAGATTCTATCCCATATATGCGCATGTTAGCGCATGCGTTTAGTCAGCGATTAGTCGACAATCATTACATTTGTAATATTTTGTAATATTATTAGAATTTGCACCGTTCTATTACTATGATTTTATTATCTTACTTGAAATTTGAAAATATGAAAGTAATTCATGATTTAAATTTTCTATCAACTATTGAGTAAATAATCATAAATTTCATAAAAGGATTTTTCAATTAGACATGTAATGGTCAAAATCCTGACACGATTACTGGTTGATAGATTATTTCGAAATTTGAATATTCGATTGATGATTAATTCGGTAGTTGAAAATTGTTGGGAACTATTATCAGTTAACAGGAGCTAAATTTAACTTATTTTGAATATGATGATTGTTCTGATCCCTGCGTTTAGTGCATGTTGTTCACTCCATTTATAAATAATAATCGTGGGTTGATGGATTAAAATTTCTATGAAGATAAAGGAAATAACTTCATTTCTCAGTCGAAAAAAATCAATTTTTTTTTTGAATACTTGGGATTTTGCATAAACATCCTCAAGCGCTTGTGTTGTCTGTTTATTTGTCGGGAAATTTTGTTAGCTAAAAATAGAAAAGAAACGTCGAACGGCAAAAAAGCGGCGCCGCGTCGCTCGGTGTGAGCGAGTCCTTGTCGACCTCTCAAGCAACAGTGTTGCTGCATTCACTGCCACACTTGGAATGCGCGCATAACAGTAAGCGCCAAGGTGGCAACAGCGTGCCCGGTTCAACTCTGCGCTAATCGTGCGACGGATGAAGGCTGGCGGCCGAGCGCGAGTGATCGAGGGTTAAGAATAAGAAAAGTATAAAAAAGAAACATAAAAAAACCCTCTTAGTATCTCTTTTTACATTTTTCCTCTCCTTTCTCCTCAATTTTTGTATCAAGTCTCGTGTCACGTTTACAGTTCATTTTTCTTATTATGCTCTTAACAATCAGTCTACTGCCATACGATGTCTATAGACATTGAAAATTTTCCAACGACATCAAAGACAATTAAATCAGTTGAACATTGTCGATCGAGTCCACTCAGTTGATTCACAATCGCCCCAAATATTGTACGTTTGTATTCATCACAATGACTGCGCACAACTATTGTCACTCACTCTGTGTGAGCCAATCACGCGAGAATCATAAACACCGTGTGGTATACAAATCTGATGAATAAATCTACTGGAGCAAATGGGGAAAAAGTCGTGCCTTCCCTTTGATGTATTTTTCACTGCCCCCTTTTGAACATCAAACGACGAGTCAACGTTCAGTTTTCGCGTGATCAATTGATCGTGAGTTTGTTCGAGATTAAAGGGGACTATTCAGAGTTTAAATTTGTTTGAGAAGAATTTTTAACATTTGCTGCCACTGTGTGGTGCGGCATAATGAGAGCATCTCAGATTATGCAATGGGATTGTGTTACAGATACTCACGTGGACCGACCGGGATAATGGGAATTATTCTCATTAAAGTTTAATGGATAATCATGACATCACGTAACGTCGTTACACCCACCAAGAGGTGCGCCTAAATGAAGAGACTTAGCGAAGAGAATCAGAGCAATGGGGCTTTTGAGATGAATAAAACACGTTATTTGGGATTTTTTAATTCACTACACGGACAAAAATATACCTGAATTGAGCATAAAATATACTTGATTCAATCAAAAATACTTGAGATCAATTCTCGACACACTTGAATTGATAATGAAAGTGTTCGTCGTGCAATTGAAACAAGAATTCCTCAGTTGGTGATTTGGAGTACTGAGAGAACAGCACTCTCCTCCTGCTCATCAGAAAGCAAAATACAAACTTTCCTTTCCAAGAGTGTTAAAAAATAGCAATAATATTTTCCACCCTTCATGAATCCTTGAGAAAAACTTCGGTTCACTCACCGTGATTGTGAATGGTATAGTGTTCACTAGTTCCAGAATGAAGTGGAATGAGAGCAGTTGCTGCCAAATGTTTCCCTGAAACAAAAAGAAGAATGCAATGAAATCAACCAATTTCCCTTGAGTTGACCGAACATTTTTTTATTTTACTTTCGAATCTCGATTTAATCAAACGTGATTCCATCGATCTTACAACCTGGAAAAGCTCCGGTTGAATCTCTATATTATGCAAATCCGAATCGACTTCTGGTGATCAAAATTTGGTGCTCGAAATTAAAACTCCACAATTAAGGATCACAAAAGTTAAAACAAGGGTCACGAGGGTCCGCATAAGGGTTGCGAGTGTCCGATTAAGGATCACAGGAGTCAGGTGAAGAGTCACGGAAGTCAGAATAAGGGTCACGGGGGTCAAAATAATGATCATAAGGGTCAGAATAAGGGTCACGAGGGTCAGATTAAGGATCACAGAAGTGAGATTAAGGGTCACGAGGGTCAGAATAACAGTCATGAGGGTTAAAATAATGGTCTTAAGGGTCAGAACGGGGGGCACGAGGTTAAAAATCAGGAGTATAAGGGTCAAAATAAGGGTCGAGAGGGTCCGAATAAGGGTCACGAGGGTTATATTATAGATCACAGGAGTCAGATTAGAGGTCACGAGGGTCAGATTAAGGGTAACATGTGTTAACATAAGGGTCAGGTTAGGGTCATATAGGGTCAGATTAAGGATTACGAGGGGTATAGTGATTTTTATTTTAGAGAACTAAAAACTTATTTACTCTGTGGATCACTGATTTTTGTGTGGATTCCATGGTTTCTGCAGATTCAGGCATTTGTTGGCTGCGTAGTTGAGGTTTACCGAGGACTCAAAAGGACATATTACAAATGAGTGTAAAACTTATGTGCTTCAGAAAGTCATAAATATCAAAGCTCCCGGGATAGACGGATAAAGGAGGATTTATGTCGGGTAAGTCGACTATATCTCCGGATACTAGAGACTATCTTCCGATGTACTTTTATTTCTACGTGTAGGCCATTACGCTATGTATTTACCGCTCCAATGCTAGACAGCATTCACGTACAATCTTCGTGAATCAGCTGGCTGGTATTATTGACAGAAATTGTCTCCGCAGTTTTTCATCTCAGAAAGAGATGTGACGAAAATTATCACCCCTAATGCCCCGAGTGCTCAAAATCTTTCATTTATTTATTATTTTATTATTCCATAATAATCTATACAATCAATGATAATTAGTAAATTACCGGAGATTTAGAATTTTTTGGATAAATCAAATGAGTGGAGTATTGTATCGAATTACCGATAATTTTCCTCGAACTTTTCTCTCAGTGTGTCACTCCTTCAGTGAATGGTGTCATAAATTAAGATACTGTTGTCTCGTTATTCAAGACGTTCATCCAAAAGAATTATGTCCTAATGCAAAACGCTATTTTTCCATGTATACTTGGCAAAAAAAATTGCTAAAATCGTTAATTCGATTTTGTTATTCAGCAGCTGAAAATTCTACTCCTGCCGTAAATTCTTTTACTTAAAAATCCGAAGCTTTTTGTGATAACAAAAAATTTCATTTTCCTCCATCAACTGCTGGTCCAGAAGGTGTTTGATTTTGCCTGTCGTTTCCTTGACAATGCAATTCGCTGATTCACAAGGTTGAAAGCGAGTGAAAAAAACCCAACAAGGACACGAAATACACGAATACAATTTCAGTATAAAGGTATCTCGGAATCGAGGAACATGGCAGATTGACGTAGTTTCGTCTCGACTGCCGAACCAATCTCGTTTTTTTTTCATTGATACAGTTGCAATGGAGTTTTGTCGAGACACTGGCAGTAGTGAAGGC